TATTTGGTGTAATGAAATGTGTTTATGCGGTTTAAGGTTCAAAAAACACATTATTTTCCACATATTGTACATTATTGTTTCTCCTCTATGCCCCGCCTTTCTGAAACGCGTCGATTTTTACAAAGTTCATTGGTCTGAAAAGTGAGGTGTGCTGTGATTGGTCAGCTATACAGTGCATTGTGATTGGCCGAATACCTCAAGCATGTGACGGAAATGTTATGCCCCTTACCATACTGTGATGCCGTGTCCGGCCGGAGCGACGAGATAAAACCCATTATAAATGAGGCATTTGTTGCATCCAGTGGGGACATAATTACGGATTACAATTACTTATACTGTCTTTTTACGCATTGCATCGCATAGTAAACATAAAACCATGTCTGCATTTGTGATCGGAGAAATGACAAACAACAAGCGCTACTCTACACTGCTCAAAACTCGCGTTTGAATCGTCAGTGGCAAAATTCTTTATATATAAAAAAACGTACTTACAGTCTTTGAGTCAGAACAGCCGGCATTGTAGTCTACTCTACCAGGATCAGGAAACAGTCATCCATAAAATGTGCTGCACACATCTGAATATTTGGGTTGAACTGTTCTGGAACAGTGTTGTAAATACAACTTAACCACTGATTTCTAGTCGTGTCCTCTTTTGGAAGGCCAACAAAGTAGTTTCGCTTTCACAACGAAACACAACGTCACACACGGCGGCCTTGAGTGAGCGGAGGCAGGCGGCTAGAGTGAGCGGCGGCCGGCGGATTCGACGAAGGAGCTTCCGGAGGGCTTACGGCAACCACATGTGACAACCCCGGGCTGGACTCCGCTTCGTCCACGGTGAAAGCTGATCCGGCGATCCACAGCGCGAAGTTGATGCATTTCCTCAGCGACCAGCATGGATCAGCTCTAGGCATGACGAAGCAGATATCGTCCTCTTTTGGAAGGCCAAACAAAGTAGTTTTGCTTTCATAACAAAACACACAGCGTCTTCACGACATGGCGGCGGCAACAATAATACTACAGCGAGAATAAAAGTTACGCCTTCTTTCTTTGCGTGAACATTTGGGCGGCGTTATGCAAACCTTCCCACATCGTGACGTAGACATGTGGGGGCGTGTTAGAATGAGCCGTTTTAGGTAGGCGTGGTCGACTCTTAACTTTTATAAAGAATATCTCTTTGGATTTGAGACTTTAGTCTTTGCAACTTTACAGATCTTCTTTATGCACCAAGAGCTTGTAACACTTCAAAGATAAAGGAAAAATTGAAATCATCATCATATGACCCCTTTAAGCCCCACGAAAGGCACAAAATCATTATAAAGCACCATAAAGTTTCCTTGCACTATATTCCAAGTGTTCTGAAGCCGTTCCATAGTTTAATGTGAGGTACAGATTAATTTTTAAGCCGTTAAATTCAAGTTCACTTAAACTCTAATCTCCGCTGCGGCTGTCTGTCATCCTCCATTCAGCATTCAAACTGCGCGTCACGTTCAGTTACGACAGTCAAGACAATGAAAATCTATCCAAGATGATTCACTGTTCCTATTATTATACTTGATCTGTAGATAAAGATCAGTGGTTTTGCATAAAAGGACTTTATCTTGCCGGAGTTTAGTGCTGTTTTTAAATCACGTTACTTTCTACCAGGTGTCTGTTAGATCACAACACTGGAGTAGAGAGCACTATGAATCGTTCTTCATGCGCACAGTAGCTGAAATTTCGGAAATTTAAAACTGTTAAAAGAAAAGGCTCAATAAACTATCACACAGATATAATACACTACGCATCAAAATCCTCTTCCCTTTGTGCTTTGAACTTTTCTATGCGGAGCGCTGCGTGCTGTGATTCCGTGTTGCTTCAAGCGCATCATTCTGCGCACGGGATGCACATAAGTGCTTTGTGCCACTCTGTATTGAAGCCTTTCATGTTTTAATACTTTTGCATAATGAAAGATTATTAATAGCCTTTCTTGTTGTTTATCTATCATATGTTGCTGCCTCATTACTGTGCTACACATTAAAAATAAATATCTTTTAATTTTATAGTTTATTAATTAATATATAATTATTTGGCTACTTGTTTTTCATTAATGTAGTTTACAACAATACAAAGAGCAATGTTTAACATTTTACCAGATTTAGCCCTACACTTATTCACTTTTATTTGTTCCCCACTGAATAATGTTTTTCACTAAATATTTACATTTTATAAAATGATTGTGCACTCATGATTTTTCTAGAGTAACTTTTGCAACTGTATTATCCACTAACCTAGTTTATAGTAGTATTTTTATCATAGATTATGATTATATATTTATTCATTTGTTGTTTTTCTTTACAATTAAGTTGTCTATATGTGGTAGATTGTGTTTAACACACAAAAGAGGTGATATACTTCAGGTCAACACATTGAAGTATAGAAATTCTACAATGATTAAAAAAAAAAAAAAAAAAAACTGTGCTGGTATCAGATCGGAATCGGTATCGGTATCGGCCGATACTCAGAATTTCTGGTATCGGATCAGGATCAGTTCTAAAAAAGTGGTATCGAGCCAGCCATAATGTGCTTTTTTCCTTCTTACACATTCATGGACCATATCCAATCTGTGCCACATAGGAGGAAAAATATGGAATTGGATCACTTGAACCATTCAGTGTAAATGCGGCCAATATGTTTTAGATTCTAATCACTATAATACAGTATTTTTTCCACTGCATTCTTATTTTAATCAGAATAAAGTGCTACAAATATTACTATGATCCATTAATACTTACATGAATACCAAATGATTATAATAATAATGTTTTTTTTTCACATTACAACAATGAGAATAAGTTGTTTTTGTGCAAATGGTAAATTGGTGAAATTGGCAAGAATTTAGTTAATTGTCATGAAACTAATGTCACAATGCAAAAAAAAAAAAAGTAATCTAAATAATCTTAGCTTTTTTTAAGCAGAAAATGTTTTATATATATATATATACATACAACTAATGGTATACACTAATACGAGGCTGTTAAAAACTAAGAAAGTTAGTATCAGTTAAAGTTAATATCATGAATTATTTTTTTAATATCATGAATTATTTTTATAATAACTTGATTAAACATGATCATGTAGACATGTTTCTTACCAGGTCTTCCTTTTTAATGCTGCATTTCTGACAGTCACACAGAAGTAAATGTTTGAGCAGGATTTCTTTCTAAAAATGACAGTAAACAAACAAATAATTAAATAAATAAATATGATTTTTCTTTTTTTCAACATACTATGTTCTCACCTACCTTGAGTAAAAAGTTGAGCGTTTTTCCATGGCACACTATATCTTTCTTCCAGTGTCCATCAGTGATAGTTGTTTCCTGCTTTACAAATTCCTCCGGAGTGAACCATCTTTCCTCAGTACGTATACACTTCCCACGTATCCCTGCAACAGAACATAAACGTGAACATTTTCCACTCAAACCTCCAACACAGTCAAAACAAACTGCATACGGAGTTCTGCACACAAATCAGTGCAATAACATACCTGTTGCAAACCTGTATTTGTATAAAGTCCCAGTAAGTGAAACACAGGTGACTGGTAAAGAAGGAGCCTGGAAAACAGACAGATCTGCCATGTCTTCTTCTTCCTCGACTCTCCCTCTGATCTCTGTTCCTCCTCCTCTCCATCCCTGTTCCTGGAAATCTTCAGCATCATTTTCTTGAGGAATAAAACACATTGCTGCGTTCAGACAGACAGCAGAGAGCATGTGAATGAGCCTGGATGATCGTTACTCACCTTCACTGGAGCACACACGTGTTCTCTTTCTTATCTCCACTGGTGGACACTGAAGATGCTCCTCCTGAAAAAATGAGAAAGGAAGTGATCACACATGTATATGAATAGGTCTGCTGTATTTAATGTAACTACAAATGTATCTTATACTTTGTCAAATTAAAGGGTTGATAAACAAATATGGGCTGTACTTCTGATGCTTTGTATTAGAAGCACATTCCTGCTATAGGCTGTAAGTTGCTAGAGGTTTACAATCAACTATGTTTTTAAACAGGAAAAGGTGCAGTTTTCTTTCAAAACAGTGGTGGGTGTACCGATTAAGTAATCAAATAAAAATGCCACTACAATGTTAATTTGTGCATGCAGATTGGACACATATACATAAATACTGTGTATATTGTACATTAGGGCACTAAAAATGAAATATTAGCCAATAAATACAACAACCAATAATTATTTATATCTTAAAGTGTATATATACTGTATATGTAGAGTGTATATATGCATACACACACACATATATAATTAGTTACCTCTATGAGTTTCTTAAGTGGTGTGTTTCTGCAGCGGATGCTGAGTTTCCAGTCTTTGCACTTTTCCTTCCCCGCAAACTTTTCAAAATAATTTGGGGTGAACCAGTGTCCTTGAGACAAAATACACTTTTCCCCTATAGGAGACAAGGATAGGATGCATTCAGCAAATATTATAAACACACACTCTAATAAAATTAAGAGAAATTATAGCAAAAGCTCAATGATGGTGAACCTCTGGGCATTTTGTCCCGATAGAGAGTGCCTTCTTTATCCCCACAGGTTACAGGCAGATGAGTTTTATAAATAGGCCACTTCCAAATCTCCTGGTTTTCTCCTTTCTTCACAAGAGATGCTGAGAAAGAGAGAGAAGACAACACAGATCAGGAGAGAGTGAAAATACAGGAATAGGACATCAGGCACAAGGAAATACAGTGTTATTTTAGTATCACTGAGATACTATTATTGTTTTATTCATATTTTTAAATCATTTTTTTTAATTAGTTAAAATTTTTGTAATTTTGTTAGTTTCATTTTTTTTATATAGTTTTACTATTAAAAAAGGAATAAAAACATCACAAGAATCCACATGACTCCAGTCTATCAATTAATGTCTTGTGAAGTGAAAAGCTGTGTTTTTAAGAACCAAATCCATGATTAAGACGTTTTTATCTTCAAAATGTTACTTCCAGCTAAAAGTCCTCTATCCACAATATTGCCTTCTCCAGTGAAAAGTCATCTCGCCTAAATCAGGAGAAAAATATGCACAGATCAAGCGTTGATCAGCTGTTTGGACTCTCATTCTGACGGCACCCATTCACTGCAGAGGATCCATTGGTGAGCAAATGATGTAATGCTAAATTTCTCCAAATCTGTTCTGATGAAGAAACAAACTCATCTACATCCTGGATGGCCTGAATGAGGGTACATTTTCAGAAAATTTTGGCCAAACTTTACTTTAAATTATATTTCAGTTTCAGCTATTTTAGTACATCAAGTAGAACTAAACTAAAATAAGAAATGTTTCCTCTGCAGCTATCTGAAATAAATAAAAAATTATATTTTATATTATTTTAGTTAAGGTTTAATTTATTGTGCCTGATGAGATCTTAGACCTGCTGTAGTTCAGGGACTCACAGAATGAGGGTTTTTTGCCTGGTTTCTTCAGACTGGGTGTGGAAGCAGAGGAAGGATCAGGATCATCACTATCCTCACTACTTCTATCATCTTTACTTCTCTTTCTTTTGTAGTTCTTCTCCTTCCCTTTCTCTGCCTTTCCTTCACTCTCTTCCTCCTCTGCTGGTGTCTTAACATCCGGATGTTTCTTATAGAGTTTGAAAGTGCCTGGGACAAGGAAAAAAAAATGAAACGATAACTGTATATATATATATATGAATGCATTCTTGCTCCATCATAGCATAGTAACGCAGCGTGAGCCTCTAGATAACATAACATAAAGCTGATAATAGTGAAAACCACCGACCGTCCAGCAGACTTTTTCTGAGCGTGCGTAGTGTCGGGTAGAGCTGTAGGATATGGTCTTCAAACACACAGCGCCAGAACTGATGTATGTACTGTGGTTTATTTTTCTCCACCCAGTCCAGAACCTCATAGACGCCCTTCTCCTTCTGCTCACGAGAACGCATCTTTTTCACATTCTACAGACAAAAACAGAGAAGAAGACAAAAGGAAGATGGAAGTACAGTATGATCAGACGTCTTATGCCTAAATATGCAAAACAACAAACTGACAAACTTTGACACGCAACTTTTTTTTAAAGTATAGTGGAGGTACCACGGTAAAGTGATGGTATCTGATCATGATGAATACCATGATAGTAATAATTGTTTTTTTTTTACTTTCTATTCATCAAAAAATGAAAAATGGTATCACTGTTTCCACAAAAATATTAAACAGCACAACTGTTTTCAACATTGATAATACAGATAAATGTTTCTTGAGCAGCAAAGCAGCGTCTCAGAATGATTTCTGAAGGATCGTGTGACACTGAAGACTGGAGTAATGATGCTGAAAACTCAGCTTTACCATCACAGGAATAAGTTACATTTTAAAAAAATAGTTAATAATAATACAAATAAATATATATAATCTTATAGATTCAATGTAAACACTATGCTTTGGCAATACATTGTAACAAATGTCAGAGAGAGAGAGAGAAAGAGAGAGAGAGAGAGAGAGAGAGAGAGAGAGAGAGAGAGAGAGAGAGGGC